ACATAAAGCTACTGAGTAAATATATAAAGCACTAGTTGACTATTTTCTTAATCTGGACTAACAGGTCCAACATGGTTAGTAAAACTGAGTGGGTGGACTGAAAATGTAAAATATGCATTAAATTTTGAAAATTTAAAAGAGAAAGAAAATAGCTTAATTTTTTAAGCATGATATATGTTGGAATAATAATGTTTTAGGTATCTTTGATTAAATAAAATGGATTGAAACTTGATTTTTTTAAAAAAAATGTGGCTATTCTAAAATTTTACGTTACATATGTGGCTCACATGCATGGCAAAGGGAGACCTATTTCTTCCAGAGCTATTCCTAAAAAATACTAATGCTCTCTTTGCCACATATCCAATATACAAACACTTCAGTTACTAGAAGGTACCCATCGTCATCCTCAGGATGGGCTGTGCTGTCCATCTCCGGCCAAAGGGAGGCTTGCCCACTACCAGGCTTCTCTTCTCTTAAACTCTACCACATCCTGAGTTCCCAGGGGCGAGGTGACCACCAGAGAAGATTGGGAGAGCCCCCCTCCTTTATTCTGCTCATCTTCTTATCCTCCACTACTAGTGACCCTGGGAGCCCCAGGACTTACTGTAGAGCAGTCATTCCTTTCAGCCATTCCTGCAGAGTAAAATAGCCCATGTTTTGCGCATCCAATTTCCAAGCGAGGACAAGCATGACTACCTGTTAAAATACAGAGATACAGTGACAAAGCAGACCTCAGCCATTTACCACTCCAACATCCTGCAAGAGCTTCTGCTCACAGTGGTCCAGTCACCAAGGTATGAAGGGTGACTTTAAAACTGAGTTAATCTGGGTTTGACAAACTCCTACAAAATGCCAGGTAACATAATAAAAAACTAGTGATAAAATTATTTTTATTTTGAAACATTAAACTAAAAAAAGTCAGTAGGGTTTTTAGACTTAAAGAGGTTAAAGCATGATTGTTCAATTACAGTTTAAAAATATGTGATTTACAGATTAGCAGGCTACTAAAAAAAACTTCCCCCCCCATATGTTCTTCAGACTACCCATAGTAGTGTCTCTGCTCACCTCAGAAGTGTCCTGCAATTCTGACATGTTAACATCAATTTCTTCAGGTAGACCAACCCACATTCTTACATAAACGACTCATACCATCAAGCTAGGCCTCTATTTAGCCCAAATCTTCAGCACAAAGTAAGCATGAGCAGAACATGGACGGCATCAATGCACATGCTAACATGGATGGGAAATGAGCAGAACATGGATGGCACCAATCAGCATGCTAACATGGATAGGGAAAGCCCAAGAAGGCTCAACCACAGACAACAAAGGAATGCCAGTAAGGACTGCCCAGAGTGAGAGAAATAGTCTTCCCTGTGGAAGGGTCTCTCTCTCTCTCTCTCTCCTCTCTCTCCTCTCTCTCTCCTCTTTCTCTCTCTCTCTCTCTCTGTCTCTGTCTCTCTCTCTCTCTCACACACACACACACACACACACACACTCACACACACACACACACACACACACACACACACACACACACACGTAACAACAATTAATGAAAAAAAGTTCCATGAATTTGAAAGAGCAAGGAAGGGTACATGAATGGGTTTGGAGAGAAGAAAAGGAAGCAGGAAATGACATAATCATTTGCTTTTAATGTTCTACGTAAGAACACATTTAGTAACAGGCGAGCATGAAGAAACATGAATTCACAGACATGAATACTTACATCCATGCACATGAACACACACACACACACAGGTTCAGCTAAGCAGCCACAGGGGACACTCACACTGGGGAAGCAACCTGACAGATGTCCTTGGTTTAGAAAGCGATGTGTTTTAAGGATCTCCTCCCCCTTAGTAAATAAAGGGAGGCTTGAATTTTTCGGGCCTGATAAAATTTCCTAGCTATGACTGTCAGGCCGAGTGTTAAAATACCTTTAAAGTGCTTGCTAGTGGGGGAAAAAGGCTTTACAAACATTGACCTCAGCACTTGCTTTGCGGGCTGTATCCAACTGACTGACAGCTTGTCAGGGTTCATTAAACAACACATCTTCTTCCTTGGGGAATAAAAAACAAAAAAACAAAAAAACAAAAAAAAACACCACTCTGTCTCAGAACAGAAGCACAGTAATGCATACTTGGAAACAATCCAATTCTGAATTTAGTCTTTTAGTCTTCATTGTAATTTCACATATCAAGACTGTCTCTATTCCTACAGAAACAGAGTTCGAAAGGGTTCTAACTGCCAACAAGGATGATAAGAACAGCTGCCTTTTCTTGAGAACTGCTATGGGTGAGGAACTTGGAGCACTTTCCTTTTCCAGTCAGAATCAATGCCAGGGCAGCCCACATAGAGACAGGCTTTCTGCCTCAGGTTAAATGTTCAGCCCATCCCTCAAATTTCTGTAGCTTAACCCTGGTCTCCCACTCTCATCGGACCTGCAGCCAGCCCCTCTTCCACCTCTCCCTTCAGCGAGCACCTAGATAAAACTGTCTACTGAAAGCCAGTCGCACCATTTTCCCTGTACCCATAGACACCTCCAGGTGAGACACTAAAGACCTGCCGTGCCTAAACTTTTACACCAAGATGAATACTGGTGTAATCAAAATACTGGAACCAAACTAAACTCAACTAAAAACACCTTTAAATAAAGTTAAAACACTGTAAGACAAAACCCCCACATAATGAAACACATTCCAAAGACACCTTAGAACATCTAACTCTTTCCGTGGTGAGACTGTGGGGAGAGCAGCCAGAGAGGCACAGAAAAGGCAAAGGTAAAATGAAAAAGAAGACCAAAAGGTATAAAATCTCAGTTCCTAGTTTTCATTAAAAGCACCATAAACACCATGGGCACCAGATGTCTTTAAAAGTCTAAACAAAGGAGATGGTCCCTGGAGACCTCTTCCAGACCATAAACTCCTTCAGGATCTGCCACGTTTGTTACAATGGCAGTTATTATAAAGCTAAGTTGCATCATTTATGAACGAGGGCACAAGTGTGAACATAATTTTTCATTTTAGTGTAAGATATGTGAGAACAGGAAAGAATATTTAACACTATCACGATGCGAAGAACTAGGCAAAAATAATTAAGCATATTAAAAACTTCAAACTCTAAGGGAAATATTTAGTGCTTTTACACTAAAAATCAGTCACATTCTGAGCTCAGTTCAATTAGAAGTGAAAGACCTGTGGGAAATTTATGGTAATTACCACCTACTCAAACCTTTATGAATAATTATTTAAAATCTGGAACTCTTTATTAAGTTGAAATAGCTACTGAGGGGGATAAAGGTACCCAGCACACAGTGACTGGTACCCACTGTTCATCTGCCACTGAGGGTATGTGTGCCCACACCCTTCTTTTTTTTTTTTTTTTTTTTTTTTTTTTTTTTTTTTGGGTTTTTTTTTTTTTTTTTTTTGGTTTTTGAGACAGGGTTTCTCTGTGTAGCTTTGGAGCCTGTCCTGGCACTTGCCCTGGAGACCAGGCTGGCCTCGAACTCACAGAGATCCGCGAGTTTGAGGCCAGCCTGGTCTGGGATTAAAGGTGTGCACCACCATTGCCCGGCATGCCCGCACCCTTCGTATACTGCAAGATTAATCAATGTACCTTTTAGATACAAGAAACCAAACCAGCAAATGACCACAATTACACCACAAGACTTAAAAGGGAAAAATTCAGGCTGGACAGTGGTGGTGCACTGTTGTGGGTTACTTGTACACTGTGTGAAGATATGTCGCTGTGATTGATTTAATAAAGAGCTAACTGGCAAACAGCGAGGCAGGAAGAGGTTAGACAGACCTTCCAGGGACAGAGAGGACTCTGGGAAAAAGAAAGGTGGAGCCTTCTGCCAGATATGGAGAGAAATCAGGAGGTGCAAGATGAAAGAGAGGTAACACCATGTGGCAGAATGTATATATTTATTAATATTAATATTAATATTAAGTTATAAGAGTTAGTTGAGGTAAGCCTAAGCTAAAGGCTGAGCTTTCATAATAAGTTTCCATGTCATTATTTAGAAACTGGTGGCCTCCCCAAAAAATCCAACCACAATGTACACCTTTAATCCCAGCACTCAGGAGGCAAAGGCAGGCAGATCTCTGAGTTTGAGGCCAGCCTGGTCTACAGAGCAAGTTCCAGGACAATCAGGACTACACAGAGCAACCCCGTCAAAAACGAAACAAAACAAACAAACAAACAAACTACAAACAAAAACAAAAAGAAAAAATAAAAGATCCACTTAAAAATGCAACTAGAACTAGAACGCATGTCTTAGCGGCATACAAACCAACACACAACGGTTTCTCGTATTACTGCCTTACTTGGAAAAGGGCAAACTAAAGGCAAGAAGGGCACTTCACTGTCCTGGGAGGGGGACTTACATTTTCTGGTTCAACACCAATGTCTTCACAGAATTTCTCCATGCCTTCAGGACCCACCACATCGTCAGTTCCTGTAGTGAAATGCAGTGCCACGTGAATTAACTTGGTACAGTGTCAAATACAGCTGATAAGAATCAAAGGCCATAACTAACTCCTTGGGTGGGGGGAATCAAGTACAAATTGGACAATTATTCAATTAAACCCTTAGTGATTAAGTCTTTCATTTGAATCGTCATCATACCCTTCAACCTTTGGTTAAGGCAGTCAGTTCTACCTGAGGACAAGGCTATTCCCAACAACTTTTTAAAATATCTAAAAACTCTACATTCTTACTTGGCAATGATACCGTAATAAACACATGTAAAAAATTTTAGGATTCTCTCAAAGAATCACATACCAGTCTCTATAAAATAGGAAAAATAGCATTAATTTTTTACAAAGAAAAAAAAACAAATAAAATCCCACATCTCTAAATTCAACCAATTATAAAATATTTGTAAAGAATTGTCTATACTAAATTTAGATTGATTTTTTTCCTTGTCATTAAGTAGTAGGACATAATATCTTCTGATATAATATATACATTACATTGTATATTTAGTATTATAAATAAAACCTAGAAATGATTTAAAATAGGTAGGAGATTTTCATAGGTCATATGATCCAAGGACTAACTCATGTGACATTAGAGACTTGAGCATTGTGGAATTTGGTTCCCCTCCAGCCCTAGAAACAATGCCCAGTATGTATCATGAGACATTTGTCATTTTGTTCTCTTTTTCATAAGTGTGTGTGTGTGTGTGTGTGTGTGTGTGTATGACCTCGAGCACATGCACTCACACAGTGTGCATATGTCTCCTCAGATGCCCAAAGAGGGCATAGGACCCACTTGAGATGCAGTTACAGGTAGTTATGAGTAGCATAAATTGGTGATAAGAACTAAACTTGGTTCCCTGGAAAATCAGTCCACCTCTCCAGCCAGATTTTATCCTTGATATATACAGTTGGGATATATCTGATCACACTGTGAACCCTGAGTTTGCATTTGCATTAATTAAATAAAATTAGCCTTGGGTCAGAAGGCTGCAGTTAGCAACTAGTTGACAGAAAGTAATCATAGCACACCAGAGGGCATCTGGAAGAGACAGATACAGGAAGTAGGATGGGTTTTGGAGGGGCTTAGTTTTTTGTGGTTTGGCAAAGTGGAAGCACAGGTCTTCCTTCCATAGATGCCAGCAAGGAGGGGGTTAGCTAGTTACTACTCAGTCTCTCTGAGCTCATAGGTTTTCACCCCAACCTTTGAATCTCGAGTCTTAGTTAAAGAATTTTAGTTAAAGCTATCTTTAGTGGCAGTGACAGGGCCAGTGCCTGTGGGAGCAGAAGCCTCACCAGGCTGCATGCCAGGCCACTGCTAGAGAAGCAAGCTGGTAACTGCAGAGTTGGAATTGCTGGCTGAGATAGCAGTAGATTAAGTCACAGCCACTGTGCTGAAGTTAAAACAACAATATAGGGCCTCCCCACCACCCGGTTCTAGCTCTGTTTCTTCCTGGGGGCTGCCCATGCCTCCACTTCAGTTCATGTTTTCTCTTTAACTACTGAAATTTGCTCTTTTGTATACCTATCTTTCCCCTGCAATTCTTGCCCCCCTAACTGTCCAATCTAATGGATACTTCCCATCTTTATTTTATTTGCTCTCTGGAGCAGTTCTTTTCAAGAAACTCTCCTCCCATGGCTTCCAGAAACAACTTCTCATGAGCTTTTCCTCCTCCTCCTCCTCTTTTGGCTTCTCTGTGGGTTCTTTTGCTCATTAAAATGAAAGTGTAGCCGTCAACCTCAACTTCTAGTCTTTAGAGTACTGGTTCTCAACCCGTGGGTCGTGAGCTCTTTGTCAAACCTCTGTCTCCAACCGTATTTACGTTATGATTCATAGCAGTAGCAAAATTACAGTTACGAAGTATAAATGAAAGTTTTATGGTTGGGTGGTCACCACAGCATGAGGAACTGTATCAAAGGGTCACAGCATTAGGAAGGTTGAGAACCACTCTTCAGACTATCGTCCAAAATTTCCAACCACTGAAAGCTTTCAACTCCTACCCACGTCTCCTCCTGACCATGGGCAGCACCCACATGACCACCCACTCTGGTTCTACAGCTCTAGCTAGATAAGCCTTCTCCCCCCAAGTCCACTACTGTTGCATTTCACTCTGCAGCAGCACCCCAGAGACACTTGGCCTCTCTGTGCCAAGCCTACACACCTAGAAACAAGCCTGGGAGTGCCCCTTTCTTCTCCCTCACTAGCCTTCTTTCTCAGTGTTTCGTGATGGCGCTCCTCCTGTACAGCCTCCATTCACTGAGGCCTCTGACCCAACCTGCACACAGCCACTAAGAGATCAGATCTTCCCTAAGTACAAATCCTATGCTGGCTTAGAATTCTCCAGTGGCTCTTCATTTCCTAAAGTTAAGTCTCTATCACATCTCTATGAGTTAGCAGCCTCCCTCTCTCTCTCTCTCTCTCTCTCTCTCGCACACACACACACACACACACACACACTAATTTTCCAGCTTTGTATCTTCCAACTGCAAAGAACATGTCTCAAAAATACATTAAACACTATCACTGAATGGATAAATATAATGGAGCTGGGGATAATGGCAGAATATTTGCCTAGCATATGCAAAGCCTTTATAATTAACATGCATGCACACGCACTCACAAACACACATGCGCACATGAACATAGATACAGACACGAAGGGGACACACGAACACACACACACAGGGTCCCATGTATTAGGGCAACATGATGGTCCAAGGTCCAGTAATCCCAGCATTCAGGAAGTAGCCTGGAAGATCAGGAACCCAAGGCCAGCTATACAGACAGACAAGAAGAGGCCAGCATGGGTTCTATGAGACCTTTTCTCAAAAAAACAAAAAGGCTACATGGATGAAAAAATCTCCAGAAACACCTACTGACCTGGGTGGGGTTTCACCATGTACTAAATATGCCAGAAGCCACTGTGCACTTTGTGTCTCAGTCTGCCTGCCCTCTTATTTCCTTTCCTTCCCTGGATAATTCATTCAACCACTGAGACTGAAACCAAACAGCCCCCAACTCCACCTGCAGGCCACATTAACCATGTCCACTGTGACTACATGCAACGCTGGGAATGGTTTTTTCCACTCAGCACACCGTATTCAAAAGTGCCAGTCATCTTCCCCAGAAGCTCAAAAGCAAGACTTATCTATTCTTCCTACAACCTCAGCACTAACCTGGTATTACTTAACAAGAGTTTACTCAATGAGTGAAGTCATAGTCAGGGAATCCCCGCAGAATCTCCTTTTGTGTCTGGATCCAATAAGCCACTGAGTCCAGCAGAATCTATAATATTTCTATGTCTGTTTCATCAAGTAACGTGTATCAGACAAGTCATAGAATATGCACTGTGGCAGTGCTTGGGATGTAAAAGGGACAGTGGCACCTCAGTCCTGCACCCATCAAGGCAGAAGAGCAGAGCAGTTTCAAAAGAGTAATGACTAAGCCACAGGAAAAGCACAGTACTTGTTCTCCAAGGATGAACCTGAGCATCCAAGGAAGCACCTACTGTAAAGTCCTAAGTCACTTCCTGCCCAAGTTCAGCCCCTTCCTCGAAAACTCAACAAAGGAAAACATTTTCTCTGTGTTGCCATCTTCTCTTTATTCACAAATGTTCTATGTTTTAAGAACAACAACAGATGCTCTGTTCACCATAGTCAACTGCCATCTCTTTCTGGGATCTTTCTTTCTTTCTTCTTTTTAAATTACATTTACTCATTTATTTTACATCCTGACAGCAGTTTTCCCTCTCTCCTCTCCTCTTGTTTCCTCCACCACCTCTGCCCTTCTAACCCTGAATCCACTCCCCCTCTGTTTCTGTTCAGAAAGGGGCAGGCCTCCCATGGGTGTTAACAAAGCATGGCATCAAGCTGAGGTAGGACTAAGCTGCTCCCTCGAGTTAAGGCTTGGTAAGGTGACCCAGTATGAGGAATAGGTTCCCAAAAGCCTGCCAAAGCATCAGGGACAGGTCCCGCTCCCACAGCTAGGAGTCCCACAAGTAGACCAAACTATACAATTGTCTCACATATGTAGAGGGCCTAGGTTGGTCCCATTTGGTCATATCTGTTGGTTCAGTGTCTGTGAGCTCTATGAGCCATCCTATAGACCTAGCTATACCAATTTTGGGCATATACCCAAAGGATACACACTTACACCATAAGGATACTTGCTCAACTATGTTCAAAGCAGCATTATTTTGTAGTAGCCAGAACCTGGAAACAACCTAGATGGCCCTCAGCCAAAGAATGAATAAACAAAATGTGTTTCATTTACACAATGGTGTATTACTCAGCTGTTAAAAACAATGATATCAGGAAATTTGAAGGCCAATGGATGGAACTAGAAAAAAAAAATCCTGAATTTGGTAACTCAGACCCAGAAAGACAAGCACGGTGTGTACTCACTCATAAGTGGACATTAGCTGTAATGTAAAGGACACATGCTACAATCCACAGTGAGGCTAAGAAAGAAGGCAGGCCCAAAGGGGAATGCTTGGATATCCCTGGGAAGAGAAAATGAAGAGATCTCCTGGGTAGACTGGGGGAGGGGAGGATGGGAACATGAGGGATCAAGTTGGGGGTGGGAGAGAGGGGGAGAGTTATGAAAGAGTGTCTTGATTGGGGAAGGGGGTGGGCATTTTAGGGTCAGGTAGAAACCTGATGCAAGGAAAATTCCCATGCATCTACAAGGATGTCCCCAGTCAAGACTCCTGGGATCATCTTTTTTATCTGTTTTTTTTTCCCCTATATTCCTTAATTTTATCTTGACCATGAGAGAAATCAAAAGTTTAGCTAATCTGGGGGAGAAGATTTGGTTATACATTAACAAATAGTGCAAATATCATTTAACCATGAAGATAAAAATCAGATTCATACTCTGCCTTCTCAGCTCCCTAGAGATCATCATTTATTAAAGCACTTTTCTAAATACCCTTCCCAAATAAGCCCTTCACAAAAATGTGTTATGTATGGGATATAT